TTTTTAAAAAATCCTTCCTGTGTTATAAACACATGTGTGTATGTATGTAAATATGATATATAAATATGTTCTACGTACATACATATAGTTATACATGTGCATACTGTTTGTACAGAGCAGGCCTTAGGGAATCTATTGCTCTCAGCTAATTTTTTTTACGCCATCATACTTATATAATTGTTTTAGCAAAAAAAACCACAAGAAAAAAGAGAAAAAAGAGAGAAAGGAGTAGACAATCTCCATATACTCTCTTTAATGTTTTATGGCTCTTTTCTTATAATTTGAAATATTTTCTTACTTTTTTCTGTACATGTAAGCTTTATTCCCTAAGGTGAAAAATATTTTGGTTCTTGGCCATAATTAATAAGGGGTTTACTTTAGTAAATAATATACTAAGGTATATTTTGGAATGCTAGGTTATTGCGCACATACACCTTTGTCATAAATTTTCCATATGTATATAAAATAATGGCAATATAATATATAGGGAATAACACAAAAAAAAGCCCCATAAATATTAAGTACACTTATTTTTTTTTTGGTAATCTTGATAAAGTAAAATATAAAATCCATTCACCTGTAAATATTAAATGTATCTTTTTTTTTAAGTAAAATAGCGCAGGAAACAAACAAAACAAATAGTTTTTCTTTCGTCGAACTGTAACTTAATCAAAAAAAGCGGGAGGGGGGGGGGGGTTTGAGGCCGATAAATAAAACTTTATATAAATAAGAATTTAAAGGGGGCATTAGGTATACGTATATAAATTATGGAGGTATTGAATAAAAAAAATTATTGAAGATATTTCTCATCTCGACAGGTTTCGAAAATAAAAATATTGCTATCAATTGCACTATATTGACCTACGTAAAAATTTCCTCGTATATTGTTTCAATTAATTGTATTGATCATGGAGCGAAGAATCTTTGGAATAAATAAAAAAAAATTGCTGCGTTTGTATAAAGACTGCGGACCAATTGAATAGTTTAGGAGAAGGAGCAAATCAAACAAAAAAATTTTAACTTAAGGTCTTATAAAAAGTAATTATCCCCTGTACAAACAGAAATTAATAGAAGTATATTTACGTGTCTTTTACGCACTATTTTGTACTATTACTTTCGATCACCGTGAAACTTTGACAAGCTGTTATAGGAAAAAAAGCTGGTTGGTTTCTAAAAAAAAATATTTGAGAAACTCGTCAGTATGAAAGATGCAGGAAAAAAATCAATTTTTGAGTTCTTTTAAGCTTTGACAAAAATTGAAATTCGCCAAATGTACTTATATATGGGGTGGGGGATATTAATGCGAGAGGTATTTAGGAATCAGCCCTGTAAGGCCGCAGATCCGGAAGAAGATTTGTGAAAGAAAGATAGGGGCGTGAAAGAAAAAAAACGTGTTCAATAAAGTTTTATGCGGTGATTTCGTTGTCGGTGGAAATCACTTTTGAAATTACCATAGTCGCGATACGTTGTTGCAAGTGTGTGGCACACATGAGCAGACACGGCTCATTGTAGCTTCGAAAAATCTTCTTGGAATGCGTATACGGCGAAAAAATAAATGAAAAACAAAAATCCCACATCTGAACAGCAACAAAACGTCAGCGGTTTAGCTAGTTTTAAAAAAAAATTTAATTGGAAAGCAAATTATGAAAGTGTAAACTTTATGTTGGAAAATTTGTTTATAGAGCTGATTTTAAATTTTTCGATAATATTAATTATAAAATTGAGTTGTAATACATTGAGTAATGATTTGTTGACGTGTGAAGGTTTCATTTTTTTACTGATGTATTACGTTACGTTTTGCAAATAGTATTAAAAAAAATTTCTCACACAATTTCAATTTTCATAAATATTTTTGCTTCAAATTTGTAATAAAAAATTCCGGCAAAAGTAAAATAAACGTTAATAAAAATTTTATTTATAAACAATTAAGAAAGAGAGAGTTGTTTATTATATGTTCAGTTATTATTTCTGTTCTTTTTATACCCTGCACTTCGTGAAGGGCATATTAACTTTGGTATGGAGTTTGTAACTACTTGAAGGAGTCATCTGCGGTATGGACATATATATATATTCTTGCTCAGCGTAAAATTCTGCGTTGATTTAGACATGTCCGTCCGTCCGTCCGATCGCACGATAACTCAAAAACGAATAATGCGATCGACACCACACTTTCACAAGTTGCTTCTTTTGTGCCAAGGACGAACCCTATTGTTATTGGACCAATTCGGACAACGGGTTCGGGAAGCTGCCATACAACTGAAAGAGTTTATTTTAATTATTTCAAAAACTAATAAAGGTGCAAATATAAAATTTTGTATACATGTGTCCAATTATATTCTACATATGCTCTAAAAATTCTAATGAGATAGCTGCACCGGTTCGGGTGGCTGCCATACAACTCCAAAAGCAAATTTTTTATAATCGGCAAAATAATAAAGTCAGGTTCATGAAACTTGGCAGTTGTGTGTCCAATTATAGGTCAAAGATATTTCTGAAGTTTTAGTGGAATTGCTTGGCAGGTTCGGGTACCTGCCATACAACTCCAAAAGCTAATTTTAAATATTTGGAAAAAAAAATAAAGTCAGATTCATGAAACTTGGTAGTTGTGTGTTCAGTAATAGGTCAGACATATCCGTGAAGTTTCTATAGAATGGTTTCACAGGTTTGAGTAATTGCTATACAACAATGAAAGGTGCAGGGTATAATTCAATCGGTTCATACCGACTGAAACGTTTTTACTTGTTTGAATTTATTGTTTACTCAAATTGCCTGCTGTGAACGCGTGAACATTTCATAGGCAAAAATTTCCAAATTATAAAAACTATTATTAATTTTTCGTTAGCAAAGCGGCTCCGTACTCATTACAGCTTCTCAAAATTATGTAAATTTAATTACGAGGTATAAGTGTACTTAGTTTAAAAATGACTGAATTTTATATTTTGTTAGTCCATTAATTACCGACCGTATTGTGTAAACAATAGGTAGGTTATGTGATGGCAACAAATTTTGCATATCGAGTTTTCGGTGGGAACGTACTTCTCCATAGTAGGGAAGTGTAAATAAACTATTTTTAGCAACCTGTCGGTCTGTCGGTCTGTCGGTCTGTCGGTCTGTCGGTCTGTGTGTGCACGCGTGTATTTCAAGTTCGGCTGAACCGATTTTGATGAAATTTTATATGTAAGTTTATTTCCACCATGGCACGGATCGATCAACTTTTGGTATATATCAGGCCTCGGGAACTGCACCTTTTAGCGGGCCTGTTTTACATTTTTGAGCATATTGAAGAACATATTCAACCGATTTACTTGAAATTTCATATATAAGTTTTGCTCTACCGGCGATGAAACCTCCTAACTTTTGGAAGAAATCAGGCGTCAGCAACTGGACGTTTACTACGGGCCAAATATAATACAAAATATGTATTATAAACTCTATGCGAGCTCATCAGCTCATTGAGATTACAAATAAACAAACAAACAAACAAACAAACATTTTTGTGTATATAAAGAGAAATAATCAACCGATTTCATTGAAATTTAATATTTGAATTCCTTGTATTAAAACAATGAACATGTAAATTTTTTGGAAAGATCAGGGCTCGAAAACTGATCTGCGGGCCGATTTTACATTTTTCACCATATCTACGGAACGAATTGATGGAGTTTCTTGAAATTTGATATTTGAGTTCTGATTGTTACCGAAACTAAATGGCGAGCATTTCAGGGAATTCGGGTAGCACAAAGCGAAACTCTACTAAGAGCCAAATTTACATTTTTCTAGGTATGCTAACTATAAGCTTACTAATGTCCTAAAAATTGGAAAGAAGTATTTAACAGACATTTTTATAATATTCTGTAACACTTTCACTTAACTAGACAATACACATTGCGGTCGGTTATGTGCTGACCACATCAGATTTTTTTTTATTATTATTACATATAACTCATATTATAATAATTAATACACCAAAATATAAATTAATAGTTTAAAATAAATAAAAATTTTATGGTAAAAAAAAAACCTAGAATTTTATGACTCAATGCTTATTTTGTTTGTATACCTTGCTTCACCATAAATTTTATTATGTAAACAACTAATAAATATGAATACATGGTGTAAAATTATGTACGTTAAGTTTTTGAGGATTAGTGAAAAAGTAATTAAATGTTTTGAATCCATTAAAATAGAAAAACAGAAAATACAATAGAAAAATAAATCGAAATTTCATAGAGTTTTTTTTTTATAATATTATTATTTAAATTTTTTTTATTATATGGCCGCTAATCTGATTATTTGATCCGAGACATTGTCTTTAACTATTTTAAATTACGGTATACGGTTTATCTAAATTTTAACTATGAAATTGTGTATACGAAGTAAAGTTATCCTTTTTTTTCTATCTATATTATATTCTATATAATAGTCTGATGAAATATTTTGATCTATTCTATAAGTGGGTATTTATTTTTACATAGTACATTAGTATAGTATACGAGTATTATTTTGGTTTCCCGATATTCACATATAATGTATGGGTAGCTGTTTTTTCTTAAAAGGTTAACAGGATGTTGGGTTAAAATAGAACATATACATATGTACATACATATATATATATAAATGTATATAATATGGATATTTTAATGGGGAATTTTAAAATGTTCGTGCTGTTGTTAAAACTTTATTTATTTTAATTTTTATTTTTCTATTTTTCATGTTTATTATTGCCATATGGTTTTGTTAAAAATGTTATATTTTTATATGTACATAGAATTGAATTGAATTTTATTTTGTTAAATGATTCTTTTTACTAAAACAGAAAAAGGTCTTTTTCTTGTACTCCTTCTTCTTCTGTTTATTGTCCAAAATAAATAGTTTCAATTAATTTCATTTCAAAAAATACATATTCTTAAATAAATGTATTTTATATAATAAAATAAAATAGAAATATATATATATTTTTTTTAATTGTATATATACATATATAAATGTTTTTAACTTACTTGTTCATTTGGTAATTTTCGTGGTTGTTTCTTGATCCCTCTTCTTGCACGTGCTTTGGCAGCGAAATATATTCGAATATAAACAAATACCATTATACAACTAGGAATGTAAAATGATCCTAAAGCAGAATATAAAACGTAACCGATGTCTTCGCTTAACTGTAACAATAAAAGAAAAACAAGAAAATAATAAGAAAATATTAGAAATAAAAAACACACACTACAAGAAAAGAAAAAACAAGAAAAAAGATCAAGAGCAAAAATATAACAAAAAAAAAAAAATTCGAATAAAAAATTGCTTAAGAAAATTAAGACAGTTGATAATAATTTATACAAAAAAAAGAAATAGAAAAAAAAATGATGTAAATAAGTGAAACCCTTGTGGTTTAAAGAAACTTTTATAATTATTGTTATGAATTCAGCAATATTCTCTTAATAAAATATAAATATATGCACATATGCATATAACATACTCATTGGTACACACGTATATGTATATAAGAGAGCAAAAGATACACATATGTGTATGAAATTCTAAAAAGAAGAAAAAAAAATTTTTTTTTTCCTATTCGTAATTTTCACTCTTGCCTTCCCTCAGTTCTTTTCCTCTCTTCTCCAATGTCTCAGTCAAAAATAGAGAAAAATTTTTGTACAATTTTCTAAGGAGCAAAAGCAAATGTAAAAGAAAATTTTTGTTATACAGATAGAACAGAACTTGAACTATTATACATGAAAGGATAAAAAAAAATATAAGAATTTGTATAAATGTTTGTAGTCCTATTTTATAATATATATATTAAATACATACATACATACATTCCCATACTTATAATAATATGTTATAAAGTTTTGGAAATAACATTAAGGGTTCTCAAAAGAAACAAAAAAAAAAGAGAGAAAAATGAAAAAGAAAGAAAAAAGTTTAATGTTTACCAAGGTTGCCATTCAACAAATTAGAATTGTATCAAAATTATGAAGAAAATCATAGAGAAAGAAAAACAAAAAAATAATAATAAAAAGAAATGAATATCATATTAAAGAAAATAATATGTCAAAAAAAAGTAAAAACAAAAATAACAAAATTCACAACAACAAAAAAGGAAAAGATTTTTGGGAACATAAGACATAATTTTGTGCTGAAAATTTTTCATATACACCATACATACGCTACACCATACCACAGTACATCAAACCAACGAAAACCAACCAAACTCTCATCAAATTGATTTGCCTTAATCAGTAGGGATTGTAGTTTTTGTCGATTACATTAAAATTTACAATTGAATCCTATTATATAAGAAAGTTTTTTCTTCTTTTCAGAAATTTTTCATATAATTTATTTGTATATGTATGTATGTACGGGATATTATGGTGGGTATACATTTAATGACACATGTTAACATATGTTTATTATGTGTGATAGGTACAAGCAAAAAAAAAAAAAAAATACAAACATAATGCAATCATAATATAAAATATATTTTTGGGGGCCTAAGATAATTTGAAATTATTTTAATATTCGAATTCTGTTGAAAGAAAATTTCTCTTTTCAATGGTTAAGGTATATTAGAAACTTATATATCGTCGGCTGAGAAAGAAAACAGCGTATAACATTTATACGTCGTTATCCGATTTTATCACCATTGGATTCTCCATAGTCGATTCTATAAGTTGAGTTACTTTATATTTCTCTATCTTTTCATTCTAACATACTTTTTAAATAAAAACGAAAATATTGTATAAAGCATTTTTAGAAACTAATTAATAACAAAATAGCGTAAAATGCGTTTACTTTGTTTTATTGCCAAACCGTAACTTTTTACAAAATTTAAAATAACGTAATGAATTCTTACACTATTTTGGTAGAAAATTTATCATTCAGTTGTTAATTTCAATACCAAATAAAAAAGTGTATGTTACTTTTACACGCTTTTTAAATTTTAATAAAAAAAATTTTTGCAATAAATTGAAAAGTAAAACGGTGTAAGAATTTGATACACTGTTTCATATTGTCTTATACACTACTTTAATTTTGAATTTTTAATCGTCTTCCCTGACTAACAATGCAATAAAACAGCGTACAAAACAAACGTACATATGTACATTATACTTGTTTAATTTTGTTTAATTCTATATGCATCTTCATGTATAAGACAAATATTTTTAACAAATAAGTATTCTGTTGGAGTCTGTTGATCAGTACAGAACTTAAAGTTATAACTTTTTTAATAAGTGAAGCAAATAATTAATAATTTAAGGAAGAATTTTATACTCACAATAATTAAAATAATTTTGTTGTGTTACGTAAAAAGAAAATGAATAAAAATTTTAATGATGAAGAAGTTGTAACATTTTTCGAGAAGTCACCAGAAAATTCTATTACAGACTTTTCTTCTGGTTCTGATGACAATTATGAACCTAGCAAGAGTTCAGCATCTGAAACGGGTGAAGCGGAACCAGAAAATCTTACAGAATGTTTTATAGACTAAACGTTTGATAATGAAACCATTACATCTACACCACCGGAAACACTACTCGAAAAAATTTTAGAAAGTACTAATCTAAGTGAAAATGTAAAAAAGCAATAAAAAAATTAAAAAAGAAAGAATTCAAAGTAAAAGAACGTTACAACGAAATTTGCAACTGCCAACAAAATTGCGTTGAAAAATTTCCTTAAGATGCAAGAATTAATAGTTATAATTCGTATTGAAAGCTGGGTGATTATGGAAAGAAAAGGTTATTTATAAAACATACTTTCACACACAAAGTACATACAAGAAAACGACCGCGAATGTCTCGGAAAAATTTTACGCCTTGTTATATATTGTATGGTAAAAGCGTTTGCAAAAAAGCTTAACTTAGCATTATAAAATACACATAAAAGTTGGCTAGCATACTTATAAAAGAATCTTTAATACAAAATTTAATTACTCGTTTTATGTGCGCAATATGAGAACATGATCAATCAATCTTAGTTAGAAGCATTCAGTAGCATTTTGTCAAAACTTGGCAGAAAAAGCTTCATCTAAAAATAATTTATCTAAATTAAACGAACCAAGCTATTCAGAAGACGAGATTGAAGAGCTATAATTAATTTTTAAAACTAAGTTTCAAAATTTCAAGTAGAAATAATGTACATTTGAATTATCTTTTATGTTAATATTATTTATTTCTGTTTACGACTTTTCATGTTACATTAATATCGATAAAAATATCTGTTTATATTTTCATACGTTGAGTTAAAGTATGTAATGTTAATTTTGTTCCTCAAATTATATTAATTTTTTACAAAATAAAATAACGTATAAATAAAAATGAAATGGTGTATACCATACAAAAATATTAAAATGAAACAGTGTATAATTTTTTTCATACAATTTCTACCAAAAATAAAATAGTGTAAGAAGTACCAAGAAATTTCAAACCTCTAATTTTCTAAGATCTATAAAAATTTATTTAATCAAATTTATGCAAATAAACTATTTATTCCCCCAAAAATGTTTAACATAACTTTTCAGTACAGTCAAAGATGACGACCGGAAGATTTTACAGTCGAAACTTCATTTTCATTTTGCAAAAAACTTTAAACGCGATTTACTCAAAACTATACCTTTTTTTATACACTGTTTTATTTCTCAGCCGACGATATGAGTATGTCGAAATATTTGACAAAGATTTATATAAATGTATGTATAGAAAAATTTTATTTCAAAGAGAAAAAAAAAAAAGGCAAAGGGAAAAAGTTATTCATTTGTTGTTCTGTTTCTGTTTTATCTTTTTCTTATTATTTGTTGTTAAGATGGTTGTAACTATTAATTTTATTACAGAATATTTTCAAAAAGTTATTCCCATTAACAATCTATAATAATTTCTTATAATTCTGATCCTACATATACATTCATACATATACAAATAAAGGACAAGAAAAAATTAGAGTGTGTTAAAATATTCGAAATGACTTTTTTCTTATATTATTCGGAAAATTCAAATGACTTCAAATAATAAGACAAAAAAAAAATCTTAATTTAAATGAAAATTTAAAATTTATTATATTAGACTATAGCTATAATAAAAATAATTTTAAATAAATACTATAAATTTTTATATTGTGGATGATTTGACAATTAAATTGAAATTATGTGTTTAATTTGTTCCAATTAAAATAGTATGTATAGCATATGGTTGACATTATAATTAATGTTTTTGTAGTCGAATTTGGTCTTGTTAATTTTTCAATTTATTTTAATTAAAATTACATATGAGTAGTAATAGAATTATGTATTTAATGATTAAGTCAAATGATTTAATAAAAAATTATAGGTATTTATATAATAGCATATTATTTGGGAAAAATAATTTTAGGTTATGTAGTAAATTGAAAAATGATTTTGGCATCTTGACAGAATTGCATATTTAATGTCATTTTTCAATTTAGAAAATCAAACGAGAAATTGTATATAATATGAGACCATTTCTCAGAACTTAGTTTACACGCAATTTGCAAAAATTATATGAATTACAATACTTTTCGACGATAGCGTTATAAATTCTAGTTTTTGTTTCAAACTCAAATAATTGTCATTCTTTGATAGCATTTATTAATGTGCTACTGCATTTGCAAAAAGTAATTGTTAAAAATTACTAAATTTGATGTAGAAAAAGAAAGCAGGGAAGAAAAAAGATATTTTTATTTATAAATTGTAAAACACCAACATGCTTTGTTTCCATCTGACTGTCATTTGCAAAAAAAAAATTATTAGCGTGTTTGACGTTATCATTAGCCATGATGATGTTCTGGGAAAGTAGGATGTCAGAATAATTTAACATTTTTAAATTTGCCGTACAAATTTTTAATTAAAATTTTAGAGTTTTTACCGTAGTATTTTTAAATGTCAAATTTGACAGCTAATTTAACGTTCTCTTTTATAATTTATAAAACTTTTATAAATTTTTAAAGTTTTATAAATTTTAAAATAAAGTACAAACTTAGAATTTGCAATTACAAATAGGAAAAGCATTAATGTCCATACTTTATTATTCTATTATTTGACATGTGAGAGTAACCCTCGACGCTGAGTGAGAACGACAACTAACGTATAACGATTACGTATTACAAAAACAAATTTTCGGTTCAGTTGAATTAAATTATATTTTAATTT